CAGAGTGGAGATGGGAGGCAAGGAGAGTCTCCCCTGAGAGGGAGTTTCATGGAGACAGAGGAGAGGCCGTACAGGCTGGCTGCTGCATGGCTGTTTCGGGAGACGGGTGTTTGTTGGTGGAGGGCAGAACACCGAGCTGCTTCCAACAATGTCTGCTTCGGACGCTGCAGAGCCAGCACCTCTGGGTTCTCTGGTTTGTGCCCCCATGCATGTGGGCCTCAGGGCACTCAGCAAAACCGCCCTCGCCCTGGGAGCTGGTCCCACACACTGCGTTCCCTGCACTGGCAGCGAGACCGAGGCCGAGGGGTGGGGGAGGCCAAGGGAGAAGGTAGCAGAGAGGAGCTGTGGGCAGAGCTGTGGTGGAACTGGAGGAAGCTGGGGACCAGAATAGAAATAAGCAGCAGAGAAGCTGGTCTGCAGGAGGGGGAAGGAAGGGTCTGAGCTGCCAAGGTGCACAATGCACTCCTTCTGCTTTCATCTCGCCAGGGCCAGGCCCGCGCCAGCCTCGGCCAGGCACCAGGCTGAGACTAGCAGCAGCATGTGTGTAAACTGACTGAAGGAGCACGGAGATGGGAGGCTGTTTGGAGCAGCTCCCTGCCCTGGCTTACCTCTATCAGAGCGCGCCCTGAGGGATGTGCCCAAGGACCCAGCGGGCTCAGGGCATGGGAAGGGCACACTCGGCCCGTTCCCTCCGCCTGGGCCTGGAAGAGGGGGCCCCTGTCCCTTTAAACCTCCACACACACTGGCAGCTCAGCAGTGAGCAAGCTGCTGTCCCAAAGCAGGTGCCAGTGGGAGGAGGGGGTGGTGAGGGAGGCGGGGAGGCAGAGACAGCTGGCCTGGGGCTTCTCTCTCGCTGCAGTTGAGTAGCCAAGCATGATGCTATCAGCGCACGCTGCAGCTGGACTGCACAGGCCTCACGAGCAGCTTAGGCTTAGTCAGAGGAGTGCTAGGAGTGGGAGCTGATTCATGCTGTGGGCAATGGAGTGATCACTCCGGAGCCTGATGGGCTGCCCCATTCGTGGGAGGCTTTTCAGCCAACAGTCAAAAACCACCTGTGAAGGAATCACTAATATGCAAAACTCCCTTCGCCTCCCTCTCCTGCTGGCACTGGAGTGGCCAGGAGCGTGTCCAGCCAGAACTGAGCTGCTTCCTGCAGTACGGGTGCTGGGAGAGGTGGGGCGGGGGGCCTGGAGCAGCCTGGATCTCCCCCCACCCTCAGCACTCCCGCCCCAGTACCTCCTGCTGGGAGACACTGGGATTAGACTAGCTGGGTGCTACACTTTTCTCCGGTGTCTCCTGCAAGGACAGAGAGTGCAACTGGACCAGGCAGGAGTCGGGCTGGGACAGCAGGGGTCTGAGTTGGGATGGAGGGGCACGGGCAGAGCTGTGGCAGGGGAGAAACCCAGGCTGTGATGGGGGGGGCTGTAGGTTGGGGTGGAGGGGCCCAGGCTGGGATGGGATGGGGGGGCTGTGGGGCAGGGTGGAGAAGCCCAGGCTGGGATGGGATGGGGGGGTGGGGTGGGGGAGCCCAGGCTGGGATGGGGGGGCGGGGTGGGGGAGCCCAGGCTGGGCTGGGCTGGGCTGGGGGGGCGGTGGGGCAGGGTGGAGAAGCCCAGGCTGGGATGGGCTGGGATGGGGGGGCGGGGTGGGGGAGCCCAGGCTGGGCTGGGATGGGGGGGCGGGGTGGGGGAGCCCGGGCTGGGATGGGCTGGGGGGGCGGGGTGGGGGAGCCCGGGCTGGGATGGGCTGGGGGGCGGGGTGGGGGAGCCCGGGCTGGGATGGGCTGGGCGGTGGGGCGGGGTGGGGGAGCCCGGGCTGGGAGGGGGTGGGGGGCAGGACAGACCCTTCCGTTTCCCTCCCCAGCTTCCTGGCGGGAACCCGGCACGTGGCCCTGCCCGCGAGGCTGCGGCGCCTCCCCCGGGCCCGCACCTGCCCGTGGACCCCGCGTGACCCGGGCCCCGCTCGGGCTCCCGCCGCCCCTCCCCCCGCGGTATAAATAGCACCTGCTTTTCCCCTTCCCTAATTTTTCCCGCTGACGTAGCGCTCGCGTCATTGTGTAGGTTGATGCTTTTCTGTGAATGAGCCGCGATCCCCGTTACTACGAGCCAGACCCTATAAAAGCTCCACGGGCCGCGGCCGCAGCGGCAGCGGCTCGGGCTCTGCGGGCGGCGCGGGAGGAGCCGGCGCGGGAGGAGCCGGCGGCGGCCCGGCCAGGTAAGGGCGGCGGGGGCACGTGCGGCCGGGCTCAGATCCCGGGGCGGCGGGGGCACGTGCGGCTGGGCTCAGATCCCGGGGCGGGGGGGCACCGGGCGGGGGGGCCCCGGGACGCTCAGCCCGCTGCGGGCTCACGTGGCCCCGCTGCCGCTCATTGGCTGCCCCCAGCACGTGCCGCGGGGGGGGAGGGGGCTCCAGGGGCGCGGGGGGCCCTGGCCGGGCTCCCCCCCACCCAGGTGATCCGGTCCAGCCTCGCTGCGGCTGGGCGGGGGCTGCGGGGCGGGAAGCGGCGCCCTGTGGGGCGCGGGGGGGGGCTGCTGCCCTCCGCCGCCCCCAGCCCGAGCCCCCCGCTGCCCCCCGCGCGGTCTGTGCGGTTCGTCCCGCTCCTGCGCGGAGCCGCATCACCCGCTTCACCTTGACTCGCATCCGTGCGGGAGCCGGGGGACCAATCGCGCGTCAGGCCGCTTCGCTTCGCTTCGCTTCGCTTCCTCCCGCCCCGCGAGCGGCGGGTCTCCACGGGGTCCTGTGACGCAGGCGGGGCAGGGAGGACGCGGGGCGGGAGCCGCCCGGGGCAGGGGGCTGGCGGGCTCCCCAGCTCGGGGGCTGGAACTGGAAGAGCCCGGGGAGGTCCCCGCCAGCGAGCTCCCTCCAGTCGGTTCTCGGGGCCCTGGCCAGGCTGGTTCGCTTGGGGATGCGGAGGCGGCAGGGACACGTAGGACTGGACGGGACCGGGAGCGCCAGTTAGTCCAGGCCCTGCAGGACTGTGGTGGCTCTCCCAGGACAGGTGTTTGGAGGCTTTGCCGGGCAGGTTAGACAGTGACCGAGATTCCCCTGCCTCCGCGGGTAACTTCTTCCACAGCTTGACTCCCCCGTGTTAGAAAGTGTGGGGGAGTCAGGGCCCTGTACCCTTCTTTCCTGCGGTTCACATTCACCGGACTCCCAGCCAGCCAGTGGAATAGCAGGTTTATTGGAGATGACAAGAATAGCATCCGACCCCGAGCTTGTAGACATGGACAGGGCCCTTAGTCTGGTCCTTCTGGGGGGTAGAGAGCTGAGACCCCCGCTCTGGGGCTCTCCCCTCTTCCCTAGTCCACTCCAAACTGAAAGAAAAAACCCTTCGGCGTCCCAGCCAGCCTCCCCCCAGCTCCTCCTCCAGCCCTTGTCCAGTTTCCTGGGCAAAGGTGTCACCTGGCCCCAACCCGCTCCTGGCTCAGGTGACAGGCTCTCAGGTCTCCCATCCCCAGTGAAACTCCCCTGCCACATTCCCAGGTCAACACTCCCCCCGCCTCACACCCGGGCAGGAAGCTTTTCCTAATGCTGAACTTAAACCCTCCCTTTTACCTCCTGGAGACTGTTAGAGCTGCCCTCAGTCTTCTCCAGACTGAACAAACCCAGGGTTTTCAATCTTCCCTTGTAGGTCAGGTTTTCTAGACCTTTAAATTATTGTTGCTCTTCTCTGGGCTTTCCCCGGTTTGGCACCACATTCCACAAAGGATGTGGACCAGGAGTGGACACAGTACTCCAGCTGAGGCCTTCCCAGTGCTGAGTAGTATTAGAATTACTGTGTCTTGCTTCCAGCACTTCGGTTAATCCAGTACAACTCAAAATGTGGGTTTTTAAGTGTTACACCCTTGACTCCTGTTTAGTTTTGTTCTACTATAACCTCCACGTCCTTCTCTGCAGTATTCCCGCCTAGGCTGTCCTTTCCCATTTTGTAAATGTGTAGTTGATGATGCCTTCCGAAGTGCAGTCCTTTGCATTGAATCACAGCAACTGCCAGGCTGTGTCACACCCAAGATCCATCTAGCCCAATCTCCAGCCTCTGCCGATGGAAGCACCAGAGGCCTCAGGGGAAAGGTAAGAACTTTGCAGCAGAGAGCTGTGGGGTAAACCACCCCTCAATAGGTCTGGCCCTGGTCTCTTGGGGCATGCCTGCACTGTGATTTTAAAACAACCTCCCATGGCACCAAGTCTGAGTCTGGGTCAGCTGACTTGGGCTGAGGATTGGGCTGCGGAGCTATGAAATTGCAGTGTAGATGTTTGGGTTCATGCTGGAGCTCAGGCTTTGGGACCCTCGGAGCCTGGGCTCCAGCCAGAGCCTGAACATCTGCAGTACAATTTCATAGCCTTGCAACTGACGCCCAAGTCAGCTGGCCTGGGCTAGCCACCAGTCTCTCTGCAGTGTAGATTGCCCTGAAGTAGGAGCTCTTGTATCCTTCCTTCGGTTAGCGTTTAATGTTAGAATGCTACGTATTCTTACCCCTCCTTGAGTCTCCTAACGTCCTTGGCCTCTCACTCTCTGTGGCGTTGAGTTCCACCATCTATGTTCAGCCTGCGTTTGTCCTCCTCTTAAGTGTAGACAAGATGTAAAACGCTGCAGCGGCACCGCTTCCATGGAGACGCTATCTGCGCCGACAGGAGGGGTTCTCCCATCAGAGCAGGTAATCGGCTACTGCCTCTCAGGAAGCTGAAGTCACTGGGAGAATTCTCCCGTCACCCTACCGCTGTCTACACCCCGCTCCTTAGCTATTGCACAGTTGAGCTCTGGTTTATTATCGCAGTACCCAGAATTGTGCTGGCGTTTGCTGGCAGAAACCCATCTGTGACAGAATGCACCCCTGTAGTCACACCCTAGTGTAACAGTCTTTGTACACAATATACCTTGTGATGCATCCTTTGAAAACTTATTACTCACTGGCCAATAATATCGTTATATGTAAAGTTATGCACATAAGCTGCTGGTATGACTGAGGTGTGGTTACCAGACCAGTCTGGGAAGAGGGTAAACGTGTTTCTCAAAGGCAAAGGACAAGCAGATGCCTCCAACCAGGTGTCATTAAAGTTGATTGGCCATCACCGATCAAGTGGCAATTCCTTGGCAACTGAGGAGGGCTGGAACAAATCAATCTGCATTTTAGACTCCATGCCTTCCTGGCAGGAAGTAACTTTTTCTAGGGGTGTCTGCCCCTCACTTGCATAGGCCAAAGCACCCCAGGGTCTGCCTTTCTCTTTCGTCTAAGGTAACAAAGGAGCCAGCCTTTTGACTTTGAGGGATCCTGATGTGAAAATGTGGTCAGCCCTATTACTGGGAACATGTGGTGCGGGTTTTAACTTGAACCAAGTCTAGTTTTAAGCTTTAGCTACTAGAAAGCATTTTATCTTTCTCCTGTAACTATTTCTGACTTTAATGCCTTGTACTTATGCTCCCTTAAAATCTTTGTAATTAAATAAACTTGTTTTAGTTTTTTAATCAGAACTAATTCACTGCCGTGTTTAAACTGAACTGTTTGAGTAACTCCAGTTCAAGTCATAAGCGGATACATATTGACCCTCAACAGGGCAATGGACCTGTAATATCTGAACTCTCCAGGAGAGGGATGGACAGTGCAGAACACATGTTTGGGGGAAATTTGGGACTGGGAGTGTGCTGGGGTCACCCTGCAAGTAATAACTGAGGCTGGTGGATGCCAGTGCGTGACTGGTGTGTTGCTGGCAGGCTGCTGAGGTCAGGGCTGCTGGGCCAGGCTGTGGCTAGACACACACTCAGGGTGTGACCTGCACGCTGGTGGCTGTTTGTGAGAGGCCCAGGTTTGGCACTACTGCAGTAAAGCTCTGTGAGGCACCCAATAGGGCAGGTGGTGGTGCAGCCCCTCACTGGCCTGGACTGCACCCTGGAAAGGGACCCCAGCATTCCAAGGAGCCTAGGCTGTGCCATTGACTCTGATGTGAAGAGTAGGGTGGGGCAGGAGATTCTTCTCCAGTTTCTTCCGAAGTGCTCTCTGGCTCCCCAGTCATTTGGTGGCTTATCTTGAACCCCTTTTAGGTCACCAAAGTGTGTCTGGCACAGAAGTGCCCAGAATGGACTGCAGTATTCCTGGTTGCAGTTCTGTAGCTGTGTTGGTGCCATGATGATAGAGACCTGGGTGAGGTGGTATCTTTTATTGGACCAACTTCTACTGGTGAGAGACCCGCTTTCCAGTGATCCAGAGCTCTTCAGGCCTGGGAAAGGGACACAAAATGTCACAGCTGAATATAAGGTGAAACCGATTGAAATGAGTTCAGCATAAGTTAACAAGAGGCCATTCAAGGTGAAGTAGCCTATTAATCCATCAGCAGTCATAGGACTGAAAAGGGGCTAGCAGGTCACAGATTGTTGTAATAAGCCATAAATAGTGTCTTTATTCAGACTCTGACATTTTTTTGTCTTTCAAAGTTATGAATTTAAGCTCCCAGGCTTGTCTTTTGAAGGTGTGCTGGGTTCCTTTGCGGGTGAGGACTGAGAGGTCAGATATCGAGTGATCGCTTTGTGAAGTGTTTGCCCACGGGTGCTAGGCTGTTTTTGCTTTTAGCATTTTTCTGTGTAAGTTCACTCGAGCAGCAGAGTGATTGTCTGATTTCACCCACCTAGTTTCATTGGGGCATTGAGTGCGCGGGCTGAGGTACACCACATGTTGTGATAGGCATGTGTAGGACCCAGGGACACAGCCGCCGATTCGTGGGTGCTCTGGGCCTGGAGCACCCATAGGGAAAAATTGGTGGGTGCTCTGCACCCACCGGCAGCTCCCCAACCTGTCCCAGCTTGCCTCCGCCTCCTCCCCTGAGTGCACCGCCCTGTCCTGCTTCTTCCCCCTCCCTCCCAGGGCTTGTGCCATGAAACTGCTGTCTTGCACAGTAAGTGCTGGGAGGGAGGGGGAGGAGGCAGAACGCTGCATACTCAGAAGAGGCGGGGCTGGGGTGGGGATTTGGTGAGGGGTTCAACGGGGCAGGAAGGGGGCGGAGTCCTGGCGGGGGAAGGAGCACCCACCAGTGCCAAGGAAAATTGGCATGTGCGCCCAGGGATCTTGAAAGGTGTGTTGGGGGCAGGGGGTGTTTGCAGGATTTGCATCGGTCCTTCTGGTAGGATCTGGTGCTGCTTTGTGTTCATGGTCCCTTGACTGGGGAGCTTCTGAGGAGCTTGGGGGGGTTTCTGAAGGCCCAAAGAGAGGGTTTGGGAAAGATTTTTCAATATGTGAAAGTGTCCTGGGAAGGGGATGTTGTGATTTGATACAAACTGACACAGGTCATATTCTTCAGACCACCCCGTTGTGATGTCACCATAGGGTCCTGTTCCTCCCTCTGCCCTCTTTACACTCATGGCATATAGCCTTACACTGGACTGAGCTCTTCCTGTGTCTGGAGCACCCAGCACAATGTGGGTGTGTGCAGGGTGAAGGTCCAATAATAATCTGGAACTTGGCTCCTGGGAGAGGACCAGTAGAGCCAGCTGTCCCAAGTGATCTATCTTAACCATGGCAATAACTTGCTCCATTTCCTTCCTCCTCAGAAATCCCCAACTGGCCCTGACCCCTTCCCTTCCACAGCCCCTGTTTCACCAGAGATCTGGGCTGGGCACTCGGGGCAGGAGAGTGAAAGTTCCCCTTCTCAAGGTCAAGTTCTGCTTGCCTGACCCTGTCACCAGCCATGCAGAATCCCTTAGCATTGCAGGCGCCAGAGAGTGAGGCTTTGCCCTCATGCACCCAAAGCTGGCAGTTAGGAAACGTACCTCTTTAATGAACTGGAGTGCATTTGATTTAGAGTCATGAAGAGCTAACGAACCTCAGTTCAGAATAAAGCCTCAATGTACAGGGAGCTGAAGGTGTAGCCCAAGGTAAATAGGCAGCAGGTTTAAAACAAATGAAAGTATTTTTTCACACAACGCACAGTCAAACTGCGGAACTCCTTGCCAGAGGATGTTGTAAAGGCCAAGACTATAACAGGGTTCAAAAAACTAGATCAATTCATGGAGGATAGGTCTATCAATGGCTATTAGCCAGGATGGGCAGAGATGGTGTCCCTAGCCACTGTTGCCAGAGCTGGGAATGGGCAACAGGGGATGGATCACTTGATTCCCTATTCTGTTCATTCTCTCTGGCATACCTGGCACTGGCCACTGTCGGTAGACAGGATTCTGGGCTAGAGGGGCCTTTGGCCTGATCCAGTAGGGCTGCTCTTATGTAAAGGGCCAGGCACTGCAAGGGGGGGAAGGACCAGCCCACCAGTGCCTACAGAGAATGGGCAGAAACTGTGTGGGGTGGGGAGGGCTCAAAAAATGGTCCAGGGGGGGCCTGGGCTGGCACTGGCTATTGTGAGTGAATGGAGTCAAAGCAGCTACTTTCCAAGGCAGAAAATGGGCAAAAAACCTGCTCACTGCTGACCTCGCTGGCCACTGATGCCTGTTAGTGTCGGACTCAAACGCTGGTGTGAGCCTGTGTGAGAACCTGAACAGAATGGAACGGAAACGGCCTCCAAGTCCCAGGTGTGTCTGTGCAGAGACGCTGCCAGGCATGGCTTGGGGGATGGGTGTCCTGGGGCCATGCTGAGTATGAAGGGCTGGGCTTCTTCCAGCTGGGAACAAAGGACGTCTCCCTTTCCCAGCAGCCTCTGGCACTGTGCTTGTTCCTTTTTGCAGTCCCTGCCTGCTCGGAGTGACACATTAAACAGGGTTAACTAGCCAGTGGCCTCAGGCACTGGGCTGCTGGCTTCCACCCCCAGGTGCCCCAACTACTCACCATGTGCTGAGAGATCCAGCCTGCAGGAGGGGAGCGTATGGGGGGCTCGTCTCCACTCCCCAGGCAGTGACTGTCTTGTGGGAGCAGCTGTGCTTCTGTCCTGGCTTTCGGTCACTTTGGTATGCAGTGATTTTGCTTTTGTTCCTTCAGAGCATCCTGCCCCCAAGGCCAATCTACTCCCCAGGCCTGGCTCTCTCAACAGAGGTTGCAAGTCTCTTGAAGCAGACATCTGCACAGCCCTTGAGAGGCAGGACCAGGAAGAGGGGATGGGTGGGATATGACAGAAGTCTATAAAATCATGACTGGTGCAGGAAAAAGTGAACAAGGAAGTGTATTTACGTAAAGGGGTAAACAACAAGAACTAGGAGTCACCCAATGAAATTCATGGGCAGCAGGTTTAAAACAAGTACTTCCTTATGTTTTTCATACCACCCAGTCAACCTGTGGAACTTGTTGCCAGGGGATGTTGTGAAAGCCAAAAGCAAAACTGGGTTCAAAAAAGAATTAGATAAGTTCATGGAGGAGAGATTCATCAATGGCCATCTCCAAGATGGTCAGGGATACAACCCCATGCTCTATGTCCCTAAATTTCTGACTGCCAGAAGCCAGGATTAGAGGACAGGGGATGGGTCACTCAAAATTGCCCTGTTCTGTTCATTCCCCCTGAAGCATCTGGCGCTGGCCACTGCTGGAAGACAGGACACTGGACTACATGGACCATTGGTCTGACCCAGTGTGACCATTCTTATGGCTTAACTGGCCAGCACCCTAAGCATTTGTAGGAGCTGGTGCCTACAGCCCAGCCCTGGAACTCCCAGACCTGCCATTGGCTTCACAACAGAAAATCCTTTGACAGGCTCCCTGATTCCTTCTCTGTGGGAGAGGCAAAGCTCCCATGCGTCATCCCTACCTATCCAGGAGGACTAGTCTGCATAAATCACCCTTAGCTCCATGCCACTGCCATCCCCATGCCCACAGCTGTGAAGAGCCACTTGTGGAGACACTGGTGAGAAGATCCCAAGTCAGCGCGTCGGCACCTTGGCTCTAGACTGATTACTGCTAAATAGCGTTCAGGAAACAGTAACAGTCTACAGTCATGGCTACTGAAGCATGACAGCTACAGCACCTGCACCCAGAGCCGCCGAGCAGCCAGAACCAGCCCAGCCACACAGGAGTGCAAGGGCTGGGAAAGGGGTTAAAGCAGTAGAGGCAACCAAGGGCTGCAGGCAGGGGTCTGCTGCTCATCCATCTCTCATCAACCATGTAGAGACACACCGGGGCAGGGGGATCACAGGGACTGAAGCCCTAGTGGGAGCTCTGGCAGGAAATATGTGGAGTGAGGGGCAGGGGCACTCTCTCTGCTATTCAGTCTTATCCCCACTAGCAGGAGGTGCTGTAAATAGCTGCTAGGGAATTTGCCCATGTTTGCATTGGCAATTTCTTTTCTTCCCTCCCCTCCCCAGCACAAAGCAGGGGCTGCATCTTTGCCTGCAGCATCAGTGATGCCCTCAGAACTCCTGTCCTTGTTTGTTCCCATCTGATGGGGAAAGAGCAGGGTAATCATGTCTGGCTCCCAGAACTTAAATCCAGCTTCCACCGGAGCTGAGGTCCAAGTCCAGGGGCCTACTAGGCTGACAAGTGAGGCCATCTAAAATGGCAGCCCTGCCCTATGGCCTGGTCTCAGCCCAGTACTATCCAGGCTAATGCCAGATTGTGTGGAGTCCTGGCTGTTGCTGAGCAGTGGAGGGCCGTGGAGTTGACTGGGAGGCCTGCCTGGTCTCTCCCTGGCCTGGGGCTCATGGCTGCAGCATTCGTGGGAGTGGCTGGTTCTGTGCTGTGTGGATGAACTGCAGGCAATTGTCAAACTGAAACCCGAGGTTTGGCTCCAGAGGGACTAGGAGGCCAAGACAGTCAGCTGTGTAAGTCCCCCTTGCTGAGGGTGGGATGTAGAGGGGTTCCAGGGGTGACTGGGGGCTTTGACCTTACGCTCTGGTCCTGCATCTAGTGGCCTTCTAACAAGCAGCACTGTGTTAGAATGTCCTTCCACAGCATGTCTGGCCCAGCCTTGCACACCCTTCACACCCCGCTGTCTGCAGGAGGAGCTGGGCTGGGGTGGCTGTGCAGGCCTGTGGCATCTGGACATTGCATTGGCAATCCTGCTGAAGGCAGCTGGCTGAACTGAGCCTCCATCAAGGAGCTGCTGCGCCGAGGTTTACCATAGCCTGGCTTCCCAGCAGCTGTCCATGGTGCTGGGCGGGAGTCAGGGTGGGAAGCGCAGTGTGCCTGGAAGGTTGCTTCTGCAAAGTCTGCCTGGCCCCGCAGCTGGCCACCTCCCGCTCTCTGAACTGACTTTAGAGCAGCAACTTCTCGGTACATTTACCTCTCTCCTGTGCAGCTCCACTCCCTCCCCAGCTCTCCAGGCCCAGCATCTGCAGAGACTTCCTGCTGTTACAGGAGAGACTGGCTCTTGGTTTTGCGGCTCCAAGCAGAGCCAGGGTACCCAAGCAGACCATCTGGCCACTGGGAGCCTCTATTAACCCTTCAGTAGCTGGCACTCGGGCATGTGATGGTGAGGAATTGTGGAATGTGTGTGGGCATTGAGGAGTCGAGGCTGGTCTGGGTGTCCATGTTGGCTTAATTGGCATTTGCCTAGACTTCTGTGATCACTTCTCAGCCCCACTGAAGTCTGAATTTAATGGAGCCAGGATTTCACTCCCTTTCTTATCTGGAAATAGTTGTACCACGGTAACTTCAGGTGTGTGTCTGTCACAGTGGCATGGTGTCTCTGTCCTTTCCCTTCCAGGGTTACTCGAGGTGAATCGCTACCACCTGCCTGCAGCGTGAGAGCTTTGTATGGGGCCACCAGGGAATTCTCCCAAACCTGCTGCCCAGGCTCTGCTCTGAGCTGGACCAGCCCCACTTGCACATTTACTTCCGCTGCATCTTTTACAGGCCCTGGGGTTTTATCTCACTCCACAGCCCTTACTTCATCACTACAGGCCTCAAAGGCCAGCTCTCTGGCACATAGCCCTACTGGCTTCTCACAACCCGCTGCCCTTTACCCCATATCCATTGTCTTCCACCCCCCCACCCCCCCATAAACCTGTTCCAAGGCTTAGCTTGGCTCTCTGAGGTTTCTGATTCAAGGCAAGATACCTCAGGGGTGACTTGAAAACTTTTCAACACCGTTTCCTTGAATGGACCCCACAGCTCAGCCTGCCCCAAGGCCATAGAGTTAAACACAGGTAAGGCTTTACCAGATGCTCCCTTCCACTGTGTCCTCTGCATGGCCTCTGAAAGCTAGTCAGGAATTCTGCAAGCCATGCAGTCCCAATGCCTGAAGCTGAGGTTTAACTGGTCGCTGCTGGGGGCTCACTGGGGGCGGTCACGCAGGGGAGGAAGGCTTTCATTTAGTAATTCCAGCATTCTGAGCACATGACACCTGTCTTTGCACTTTGGGCCTTCCAGCTCCAGAAGACTCCAGTGGGTGCTTCCTCCACTGCCGGTCCCTCTGGAGCTGCTGCTTCCTCTCTCGAGCTTGCTCCTCCATCCACCTCTGGAGTTCGCGTTCCCTTTCCAGTGTCGCAAACTCCACTCTGGCCAGCTCTCTAATCATATGGCTACTTGAATGAGAACTGGGTTGGGCTGGCTCCCCTTCGCTGGAGTGTCGCCCTGAATCCTGTGCTCTCGCCATCCTCTTGCCTACCCAAGGGAGATGGCCACCCTCCATAACTTGTCTTGTTCCAGAATCCTAAACCTCATTTCCTTGACGCTTTCCTGTGCTCTGGGCACAGCTGCCTAGACTCCAGCTTGGCAGGTTTGGAATGTTGCTTGCTTGCTCATCTTGCATGACTTTTGGTTCAATTCCTCTCACTCAAATTAAAGCTGGGGGGGGGGGAATGACAAGATGGGACCTTTCCTTTTGTTTCCAACCTTATTACTCTAGAGCCTGATGGTGTGTGTATTTTAATTTAGCTTGTAAGTGTCTTGAGCATGATCTTTGCTTAGCTAATAAACTGGATGCAGATCCTGCTGATTACCCCACAGACACACTTCTGGGTTACCTGAGGTGTCCACCATGAATTGCTACCACCCGCTTACAATGCGAGAGCCTTGTCCGTGCCCACCGGGGAAGCCTCCCAAACCTGGCAGCACAAGTGCTCTGCTCTGCGCTCAGCAAGCCCCACTTACCCAACCCCCCCCAGCTAGAAATCAGCACACACCCCTGCTGAAACACAAGGCCCAGAAGACCTGGGGCAGGGCACCTGCCTTGCCTCTGTTCACCACGCTCTTTAGCGCAAGTCGCTTTGTCCTGTCAATAGTAAAGCCAAACAGAAGTTTATTTAACTGAGCTTGAGCTGAGCCCAAGTAGGTGCAGGTGAAAGGGCTGGAAACCCAAGATTACAGACCAACATAAAGAGCGGTCTAGAGCCATTACTTGGGACCAAGTTCTGGCCCAGTCCAACAAGGCATTTCTCACCCTGTGGTTAGTCCTCTCAGTTCATCTCCAGCCCTGAGAGCTGGGACCTATTTCAGTAAAACACTGGCATTAGGCAGAGGCCTCCCTAATGGAGAACAGCTTGGGGCCTTTCCTCTCCACTTGTCTCTTCATAATCTGGGCATTTCACTGACTCAGCTCAGCCTGAGAGTCCCTAGTCAGTCTTGTCTTCAGGCCTGCCCCTGTTCTAGACTGTAAACACAGGGCTGGGCTGGGCTGAGAGATGCGGGTGGGTCTTACTCTGGTGCATTAGCCGAGACCTGCCCCACCTCAGGTGACATATCACCTCCTGCAGTTCTGGAACACACTGTGCTGGTTTGTATCAACCCCACCTTGGGCCAATGGGGGTGGCCCCGCTTGGCACACAAGCCCCCCATGGCACACACTAGTCCACATTAAAATGTGTACAGACCTCTTGCAGCAGCCATCATGATGGGCTGGTTCTTTGCTTTTGAAGACCACAGATGAACCCCCTTTGGTGAAATGCTGAAGATGGTCAGACACCGGTGCAACATGCCTGCCTGGGTCACCGTGTGCGTGTGTAACAGGGTAACTAGTGTTAAGCACACTCTGTCAGCCATGCAGCAGGCAAGAGTCTTTAGGCGGGATTTGAATGAGGGGAGGCTGGTGGGATGGGGATGGGGCAGGCCAAGGGTGCATGCAGGGTAAACTTGCACATGCTCCAGGTGCTGCCTGCCTGAGTAGGGGCCATGTCCCAGATGCTGGGATACTGACCTTTGATAATGGGGATTATGGGCAGGCTCCCTGTCCAGGGGCTTGTGCTCCCAGTCACCAGGGACAGCGTCTGGCTGCCAGAGTTCGTTGGTTTGTTTTCTTGAGTGTACAAAGCTGCCCTTGTAGCTGAAGCTAATGTAGGGAAGCCCGTTCGTGGCAGCGCCGCCGAGGCATGTCCAGCTGCCCCTGCAGAGAGCTCAGCACGGCAAAGTTCCTGTATATCAGCAAAACTTCCCAAGATCAAAATCCAGACACATCCGATCTTGGCAGAAACTCCCCAGCTGCATCTCTGCTGCGGGAGAAACCTCCATGAAGCCCAGGCTAAGCAGGTAGGTTCATTGCAGGGGGCGGGGGGGGAGGAATCTGCCCCCCCTGCCCCTGGATTCCAAGGAGCTTGTATTGCTGTGCACATTTCTCAGCCTTTAGCAGCTCCTTCTCTGTGCCCCTTGGCGGGCTTCCCACAATGGCCACCATCATGCTGTGGCTGTATGCACACCAAAG